CCTCTGTTATTCTTCTGTGTTTACACCCAAAATGCTGATTAACTTCATATCAAAGACAAATATTATCTCCTACGGCGGTTGTATGGCCCAGCTCTTCTTCCTCTGTGGTTTTGGTATTTCTGAATGTTATATGCTGACATCAATGGCCTATGATCGCTATGTGGCCATCTGTAATCCACTTTTATATAATGTTGCCATGTCCCCTAAAGTGTGTTTCAGCCTTATGCTTGGTTCATATTTGATGGCATTTTCGGGTGCCATGGCAAACACAGGATGTGTGCTGAGACTGAATTTCTGTGATGCAGCCACTATTAACCATTATTTGTGTGATATGCTCCCTTTGCTCCAACTCTCATGCACCAGGACTTATATCAGTGAGCTGGTGCTTTTCATTTCGGTGGGCATTGATATCATTGTGCCCAGTGTCACCATCTTTGTCTCTTATGGTTGCATCCTGTCCAGCATCCTGTGCATCAGCTCCACTGAGGGCAGGTCCAAAGCCTTCAGCACCTGCAGTTCCCACATATTTGCTGTTTCTCTCTATTTTGGATCTGGTGCATTTGTGTATCTTAAACCATCTTCTGTTGGGTCAATGGGTGAGGGAAAAATCTTTTCTGTCTTTTATACCAATGTGGTTCCTTTGATGAACCCCTTCATTTATAGCTTGAGGAACAAAGACGTTAAACTTGCTCTGAGAAAAACCCGAAGTGGTAGAACATTTTGATCAGAATCACTGTCTGTGGGTATAGTTACAGGACTGGTATATTCGATTTCTTTTGTCAGAATAGTTTAGTGGGATTGTTAATATCCTGTCTCTTTGTTACCACCATGATGGAAATTTGATTTTCCTGTCAGTTTGTTTCTAATATTTTTTGGTGGGTACAGTGACAAGGTAGGGCTCCCCAAGTCCCTCCTCTGCTTCAGGGATTCTGGGATGGAAACTGTGTAGAGGTGTGGAAATTCTCAGTGTGTTAGGGTATGTACTCCGCACCAGCTGAAAGCCTCTTTCTTCTTGTTTTGTCTAGGGCTACTGGTCCAGTAGACTCTTATTCCTTGAGAGCTATATAGCTCATATAGTTCACCAACATGTTACTATAGCCAAATTCATTACCATACTTGAATATGAACTTGACTAAGTGGTCATTGAGGACAACCCCAGCCCCAACATCAAAGGTGGAAGATAAGGTGTCATTTTTAATTGCAAATTACTACCTAATCCTCAGTGAAGTCCAGGATGCCCTTGAGGGGGTCCTCTGATGCCTGCTTCACTGGCTTCTTGATGTTATAGTACTATGCAGCTTTCTTCAGGCAGCAGCTCAGATCCACAACTGACACTTTGTGGTTGGGGATATGGAAGGCCAAGTCAGTGCGCTTCCTATTCAGCTCAGGGATGACCTTGCCTACAACCTTGGTGGCATCAATATAGAAGCAGGAATGATATTCTGGGAGGCCCCTCAGCCATCATACCACAGTTTCCCAGCCAGGCTTGGCATGGTCTTCTTTGTGGCAGTTATGGCATGGACTATGGTCATGAGTCCCTCCATGATGCCAACGTTGTCATGGGTGACCCTGGCCAGAGAGGCCAAGCAGCTGGTTATGCAGGAGGCCTTGCTGACAATCTTGAGAAAGTTTTCATACTTCTCATGGTTCACACCCATCCCAAACTTCAGGGCATCAGTAGAATGGGTAGAGATGCTGATCTTCTTGGCCCCAACTTCAAGTAAGGTACAGCCTTCTGCATTGGACTCCACAGCATACTCAGCAGCAGCATCTCCATGTTTGATGTTGGTGGGATCTCCATCCTGGAAGAGGTAGGTGGGCTTTGCATTGATGACAAGTTACCTGTTTTTTGCCTTGACTGTTCCTTTGAGTTTGCCATGGATGGAATCATACTGGAACATGTAGGTCATGTAGTTGAGGTCAATGAAGTTTTCCTCGATGACAACAGCATCCACTTTGTCACAGTTAAAAACAGTCCTGATGACCAGGTGCCCAGTACCACCAAATATACTATCCCAACCTTTACCATCTTGTCTTTGGGATGGTGCTGTCACTGCACCAGAAGATGTGGCTGTGTGTCCGACAGGGAGGAGCAGAGAGCCCAGTTTGTTTCCAATTTCTTTTTTTT